CCCCGGGGAATGAAATCTCGATTATTCAAGTCACAGGTGCAAAGTTCTGTCATTTTTACTGTTAATTGTTTCAAGGTGGAAGAAAGGCTGCTTGAGCAGGTAATTTGTGATTTGGTGGGGCTGCCTGACAGCTGTTAATAGAGGTATAGTTGTTTTTTGTTAGAAGTGAAATTTTGAGTGCTAGAGAAAATCCTGAATTAGTTCACAGTTTGCAAGGTGCTTGCAGGTCACCACACCTCATTAAATGAAGAGTGGGAGAAACTTGCCAGAACTCTTTACATATGTGTGGCACTGCAGAAGTGCAACTAACGCAAGGGCATCCTTTCCCTAAAATCAGTTGCCAAACATGGTATGAATCATACTCGCTTTGTAATTCACATATTGCAGAATTGGTTTTAGGACTCAGTTTTATTACAGGTGGTATTGTACCGTGCTGAGGATTCACCCTGAACTCAGTGGGGCTACTCATTCTGTGTGCAAATCACGGATACATAAGTTTATTGCTTTCGTTTGTGAGCACTTCAGTTTATTGACTGACATATATACAGAAGTGTATTTTATGTGAACATATTTGAATGTTTAGCATGTGGAAGTATTTTATCCTTTGTATGTGTCTGATTTCTTTTTAATCTTTCCCTGCCTTTTTCTCATGTCTGCTGTACTATCTGCTAGTTTCCAGTGATTACATTTTAAGCTTCGAATATTCTTTTTGTTATCTTCCTTAAGAGATTTTAAGGTGGATTTTATGGCTTTTACCTTTGACTTTTTTCCTAGTATTTTGAATTATTCTGACGTTAGCTAACTTAAAAAAAAAACAACAAATCTTTCCTTCCTCTCATCTTTTTTATTTCCAGGTGTACCTTGGTTCTTCTCTAAATGTACGTTTTTTGCATTTTCTTGCTGTGTTTTGCTTCATATTAGTTTAACACAAATCTTGAATTTCTTTCTTTTATTCTTGCCTTTTTGTATACTGTTGAATAGAACCTTGAGAATATATTTTTGCTTGATATGTGAAGTGCAGTTTCAGAAAACATCAGAAACACTATTTTAAAAATACTTTGTGCTTTTTAATTAGGAACAAGAATGAAGGAAGAGAAGTGTTTCAGTAATGTCTTTCTCTTCTGTTTTTCTGCCTAAGGAATTGATCCTAAGTAATTATTTTCAGGTAATGAGGAACCAAAAAGAAAACCTCTTTTAAATGAAGAATTCTACAGAATTATAGAATCTGCTTTTTTTCATACTGATGCCTTTTTTACATGCATTGATATGAGATGGTCAGTTCTTGTGTTCAGTAAATGAAGATTCACTTCGCTGGTAGCATCCCTCATAACAATATTCAATTTGTTTTGTTTTCAGGGCAATGAAACTTCCTTCTTTTTTGAAGCACGTAACAAAGTCACATGCAAACATCTCTGGAAATGCTGTGTAGAACATCATACATTTTTCAGGTGAGTGATGCAAAGTTGTGTGTTCATTACCAAAGGGAGACTATATTGACCTACAGAGTGGTGTAACACAGGTTTGCTGCCTGAAACACATTTTTGCTCTTGGTTATAGAATACTCTTAAAAGTTGATACTTTCGCTTTTCTTACAGTGATGTGAAGCAGTAATTTTAAAATTGAATAGTTTGGTGTTTCCTTTTGTATTAGAATTATTTTCACAACAGTATCTCAGGTTGCATGAAGTAGGCTTTGCCAGAAGTTCTACAAATGTAAATGGTCAGGATTTAAGCTGCCATGTACATTTTTATGCATTTAACCATCAAATATTCTGTAGCAGCATTTACTTGAGTGAGGCCTTTGAATTTCAGATATTACTATTTCCTACTATGCACAGAAATTCTGGTTTTTTTTTATAGAAAGACTCACTGAATTTCTATAGTGTTTTGCTTACTTATTAGAGTGTATAAAATGTTTCCTATATTACACATCTCAGAACACTTTCTTTTACGGTTGCAAAAACACTAACAGAAATGTGCAAGGGTGTCTGGCTAGGAACTGGTCAACAGGATGCCTGGGACTGGCTTTAGGAGTGCTGTAAATGAGTAAGCTCAGAATCAATCCTGCAGTCTCATTACTGTGGCATGATGCTTTTGCCTGCTCCTGTGAAATACTAAGCGAAAAGGTACTGTTGCCAGCAGTTTATAGTAGACCCTGAAATAAAGAGGTGCGTAGTCAAAAGAAGAGGACATAAACATCTGGGTTTGTGGAGCTCTCAATGCCTGAATGAAGGGATGAAGAGGAACTAGCAGAAAATAATATTTTTTGAATCTAAAGTTTTTATTTCTTTTTTCTTTGATTGGGAAGGGGACTGTAATTGAGACCTATCTATGTGACTTTCTCTGTTGTTTTATTTTTCAAACTACATAGGGTACCAGAGAATGAATCAAACTCTCTGTCAAGAAAATTCAGCAAGTTTGGAGCCATAGGTTATAAACATCGGTACAGGTGAATTTATTTGTTAAACTTCAGTTAATTCCCTCTTCATTCCTTCTTTTCTCCTCTTCTCTTCCAATGAAAGAAAAGCCCCTCCCAAACTATGACTCAGAGCAGTTCTGCTGACAAAGCTGGAATCAGGGCCATTTTAATAGGCTCACCTTGGGAGTCTGGTAGTTTTGGGACCAATGTGAGTTACTTCTCATTCTCCAGATCCCCAGAATTGGCTGGGGCCTGCTGTAGCCTGTACTGAAAGTGAGAGCAGCCTTGCCTATGCTTTGAGTCAAAATCTCCTTATAAGTCCTGAAATTAGGTTCATGTCCTAAAAGTTTTTTCCTGACAACTGGGGAGTACCAAAATGAGGAGGCATGTTGGCTGCCACCTTTCTTCTGGGAATTAGCAAAGGGTTGGTTCAAAGACGTGTATAAAGTCTGTAACCATGATGCCCTTCTTTACAGCTGCAACTGAGCTATGCTAAGGGCTCTTGGTCTGAATGGTTATTTCTAATCCAGGAAGCAGTGCTGCTGATGCAGTGCTGTTGATTTAAGAATAAAAATGAGGGCAGATCTGAAGGGAAATGGGGGTATCTTTTCTGACTGGAATAGCTGGCAAAATTGGATAAGGATTCAAAGCTGCAAGCCTTGAAAGATGCAGTAAACTTCAGACTAAGGATGTATAGGAAGCACTTAGTCTCAATTTTATCCTGACTTAACCAAGCAGACAAGTGTGACATAAAGGACAGTTAATACTGTGATATAGAGGAAGATCTGGCAGGGAAAGTGGGTTTAAGATGCTCTAGCTGCTGTGCCACAAAGGACTAGCAGAGTATAGATTATAGTACAGATTAAAACAAATTATAGTATAGATTAAAATCATAAGATGTCAGAAACTCAATAGTTTTTACTGAGTTTTATTGAGACTTTTAAAAAGTTTTTAAGTCTGTTGAAATGACAGGATCCTTTTCTAGTGAGTAAAGCACTTCGTTTGGCAGTTGATGACCACTGTTTTAAATCCAATTCTGTCACGTTGGCTGAGCAATTTTGAGCCAAATAATTTGTGGTCTGATTTTTACAATTGCTTTAGAGTTGCATACTCAGTGAACCTGAAAGGGAGGGTAGAAAGTAGCAAATCAAAAACACATCTGAAAGCTAGGCCCCTTTCTTTTTCCATTTTCATTTTCCCTATTGGTCATATGGGAATAAGAATAGTTTTTCATCTTTTGTAGTTGTTTTGAAGCTGCTGGGTGAAAAGACCCTATTTACTGTAATGGAGAATTCTGAAGTTTTTTTCCATGGCCTGCAAATTTACCAGGTTTCTTTAGGCTTATTTTTGGCTTGTCTGTCTGGCTCTCCTTCCTGTCTGTATTTCTATCATCACTTAAGAAATACATAGATCATATTGAGTAAGGCTGACAATCATTAGTTAGGCAGTTCTTCGTCACTGCCTTTTAGGAAGACTTTTCTAAAAACAAGAAAACCATAACCTCCAATTTCTCAAGCAGCTCCTGGATTGGAGTTAATATCTGTGGTAGGTGCTAATAGCATTGTGTAATAGTAGCTGTATTACACTTATCTTCATTCAATCAGAAGTCATAGTCAGCTATCTGTTTGTTACCCTTGGATGTAAGATCTTGCTTGTAAGGAGGGTGTTTCTGATGGAGAGATGACTATGCCAGTTCTGAGTCTGAGCTCATGTGTCTGAATCTGGACTGTCTCCAGCCAGGAGAGCTGTTGTGTTACTGTCCCATCTTCTCCAAGGTATTTCATAATAATCCAGATTATTTGGGTGATAACATTATCTGTTGTGATCCATTTTATTATTACTGTAGATAGTAGGGGAGTGATTGTACTGCCTTTTGGATTTCTAGTTGGATCCTGACCTGCATTACTCGATCTGTGCAAATGGGTAGGAATTCAGTGGATTTCTGCCAGAGGACTGTGGATGAGAATTTCCTCTGTTGGACCATTTCAGCAGATTGGAGCAGGGCATTGATGCTGGGTAGGAGAAGGCTTTGTACTTATTAGGACCTTCCAATCAATTTTTAAAAATATAGCATGGAACAGTTAACTACATTTGAGTTATGCCTGCTGGTGATGCATTTAAGATTGTCTTCCTTTTTTAGTAAGTTTCAAAGGTGATCTGTGATATGACTTGCCATGTTGATATGATGGTCATTACTGACAGCTATGTTTATGAGGTTAGTTTTGTCTAGAAAACATTAAAGTGTATGTTTTCCTTCTAGTATGAAGTTCCCTGTTTTGCTGCAGTAATTCTTGAGGACTCTCCCTGACCTGAGTGGATGTTCTAGTAAATGTGGGTTGTGACACCTAGTTTCACTGTATTGATTATATGGTGTTAATGATAAATAGTGATAATCAGTTGGTGACTGACATGTTAACTCTTTTATTGGAATTCAGAGCAGCAGTAACAGCATTTTCATGTGCTTCGAGAATCTTTGCTTTGCTTTGCTTATCCGTCAGCTTTGATTGTCTTTGCTTTTTGCCTTTGGTCGTTATTGTAGTGCCAACAATGACAGTGACAGTGTTGTGTATCTGTATACGTCATTAGCTCAGAGTAGAAACCATAATCCCGTTGTTTCACAGAATCATAGAATCACAGAATGGTTAGGATTGGAAGGGACCTTAAAGATCATCTAGTTCCAATCCCCCTGCCATGAGCAGGGACACCTTCCACTAGACCAAGTTGCTCAAAGCCTCATCCAACCTGGCCTTAAACACTTCCAGGGAGGGGGCATCCACAGCTTCTCTGGGCAACCTGTTCCAATGTCTGACCACCCTCACAGTGAAGAACTTCTTCCTAATATCTAATCTAAACCTCCCCTCTTTCAGTTTAAACCCCTTTCCCCTTGTTTTGTCATTAACTGCCCTTATGAAAAGTCCTTCCCCAGCTTTCTTGTAGCCTCTTCAGGTATTGGAAGGCCGCTATAAGATCTCCCCGGAGCCTTCTCTTTTCCAGGCTGAACAGCCCCAACTCTCTCAGCCTATCTTCATAGGAGAGGTGTTCCAGCCCTTGGATCATCCTGGTGGCCTCCTCTGGACTTGTTCTAACTGCTCCAGGTCTCTCTTGTGAGGGAGGCTCCAGAACTGGACACAGTACTCCAGGTGGGGCCTTACGAGAGCAGAGTAGAGGGGGAGAATCACCTCCCTCGACCTGCTGGCCACGCTTCTCTTGATGCAGCCCAGGATACGGTTATTGGCCTTCTGGGCTGCAAGTGCACGTTGCCAGATCATGTTGAGCTTCTCAGTTTGACTTCTCAGTTTTGGTGTTTTGGTTTTTTTTTTTTTTTTTTTTTTACTTCTCATTAGGTGGCAGAGAGTTTTCAGGAAAGCAGTTTCTATGTCTTATGGTCAAGTGCTTTGGTTACTATGAGGAGGTGTTAGTGTGAGTGGAAGGTCTTATCCCCAGATATTTTGTTAAAACTGCTTCTGGAATTTGCAAGACTGGCATGGTTGCCAAACTTAAAAGTTGAGCAGAAGTATTTTCTGGCTAACTTGGGAGCAAAAAACTCCTTAAACTAAGTATCAAAAGCCAACGTTACTGTGAGGTAATGTTAGAATTTTGGGATTTTTTTTGTCCATTAATTATTTTAAAATTTTGAGAAGATAAAAATTCTGCAGTGATGACTACCCCTGTGGGGCTATTGGTGAAAATACAAACAGTAATTAGGGGAGTCTATTCACATAACTCAGAAAATCTAGATATATAATGCCTGTATAGTTGCTTGGTGCTTGCTAGTATGATACCAGTTTACTCCTAAGTCAACAAACTGCAGGTGTTTAAGCAACTGGGAGTTACTAGTAACAGTTACTTCTCTTGTGTAGTAAGTTTCCAGAAGGAAACATGGAGTTTTGGGGAGGAATACATGGTCTGTTTTACGGTTCTGTTAGGAACACTATATTCTGTTTGGTCATATGGAGAGGAACATTAAAATGAGCATAAAATAATTTATTTAAACTTAATTACTTACACTGTGTAATGAAGAAGAACCTTACTGTAAGAAGGAATCAGGACTTCTACTCAATTCATTATCATTTGTGCCTGTGCTAGTGAGAGTACTTTGTTACAGTTTGCTTTGCTCAGGGTTTTCCATGCCCTTTAAGTTGTCGTTACACATGGCAGAGAAGTAGCCCCTTACTGAGTGAAACTGAACAATGTTAAATATATGTTTTTCTGAGATGAGAACTTAAAGAAGGAATTCAGGAAGTAGTCAGTTTACTTAAGAAAGTCATGTGTTAAAATATTTGAGGTTACAAAAGGTCACGCTATCTTAGCCTGTTCCTAACAAACCAGCATTTTGTTTTAGTTGCTTAGCTCCTCTTGAAGATGACAAATATAGAAGAGGTTGGCACAATCTGTTGATGATTCTGACAATGAATGGTTCAAAACAAAAGTCAGGGTAATGCTAGTCAGCAGAACCAGAGCTGGGATGAGAAGTGAATAGTGCTGCCCAAACCCCATGCATTTTTTTCAGTCTAAAGATCCTCTGTTTCTTTGATAATTTTTCCAAGAGTTTTCCCATAATTTTGTTGTGTTTTCAAGTGGCAGGACATCTTTGCAAATGACCAGAGACCAGTCTGTTCAGCTCCCACGGCCTGACCAGTGCATTGAAAGAAGTCGCAGCAAGACTTACCCCAAAAGAACTCAACAGACAGGTAAGTCCTTCTCTGCTGGGCCTGTGGAGACATGCCTTTGGTTCATTTGTTTTCAAGAGGTGACTCAGAACTGCTACAGTGCCCTCAAAGATCCCTCAGAATGGGTTCTCTTTTGCCTTAGGTCAGTACTTGTACCTAACCTTAACTGGATATAAAAACTGGATCAAACATGGTAAAACCCCATGTTTGTAGGTCTAATGTAAAGTGTGAACAGGAAGTTTGAAAACAGGCAGTGAGAACACAAATTTTTTTTTTTAGGAGTCCTGTCTCTTGGTAAAGAGTTTTATACATGTTGTCTTGCTTGGTATCCCATTGTTCCAGTTACTCGACGAGGTGTATCTCTTGTAGAGTCTCTCCCAGTTCAAAGGCAGTATCCCTTTATTTTGATATTAAGTGGAATAGAAGTTAGTGCCATGCCCTCTGCAATTTCAGTATGCTTCAGATATGTGAGCTGGAGATCTGTTCTGCATGCTGATGTCAGAAGAAGCTGGAATTTTTTATAGGTGTTAGAGGAAATGTATAAGATTAAGCATGGATCACAGGAGTCATGCCCAGTGTAAAGGATGTTTCCTGAAATTTAGTTGTAGAAGCTTTTTGTTATGGTATAATTTGGCCAAAACACTGAACAACTACTCGCTCAATCTCCTCACCACAGGGAATAGGGGAGAGAATTGGAGGGGTAAGGAGACTCGTAGGTTGAGATAAGAACAATTTAATAATTGAAATAAAATAAAACTTAAAAAATGGTAGTAATAGTACTAATAAAATATACAAATGAGTGATGCACAGTCACAGTGCAGTTGCTCACCACCCACCGACTAAGCCCAGCCCATTCCCATATAATAATCCCAGAGAAGCGCCAATCCTGAAACTGAAACCGCAATCCTGGAAGAGCGAGAGCCCGAGCGAAAGCCAGAGAGCCAAGAGAGGAAGAGACCCTCATTAGTGTACTGAACATGATGTTATATGATATAGAATATCCTATTGACATATCCAAATGCCAATTTGGGTTTGGTAATTTTACTATTCCCCCCTAGTCTTTTGCACCTGCAGAGCAGCAAAACACGGGGAAGTTTTGAAAGGTCTTTGGCTTCCAGCAACAGTTGAAAACAGTAGTGTGTTATCAGTGTTCTTCTCATAACAAATCCCATACTGAAACCAAAACACAGGTCTATTCTAGCTACTAAGAAAATTAGCTCTGTCCCAGCCAAAAACCAGGACACTTTTCTAATGTCAGGCTCCAGTTCTACATGTGATTACACATGTATGCTTAGCTTTGTCTAACTCATGCATGAAGTGCGTGTGAGTGTGTGTGTGAGCAGTTTGAGAAAAAAACTTGTCTAGGCTTTAGAACGTAAGTAAGATTTCTCTTTATCATGGCTAGTGTGGCATTATAAACTTTGACACAGGTATATATATCTGGAAACCTGAGTTTATTCTGGATGCAGTCTTTTGACTCGGAAACAAAGCTAGGATGTTCAGCTTTTTAGCTGCAGTGGGTATTTAAGTGTAGTGTAATTAAAAGTATTGCACTTGGAAAATACAAGCAGTTTACAACAGATTTTTTTATTTCATTTTATTTTATTTACTTAGGTGTAAGAAGAGAAGGGTTGCTTTACTTTCTGATCATGCTATCTTATTGTTGTGTCTGCAGTTGTCAGTGGGTGCCAAAGAGGACAAGAAGCTGTTCACCCTTGAACCTAGTGACTTAGACACTTGTTCAGCTGGGCCTTTCCATTCTTAGGATGCTAGTTCAAGAGGAACAACATTTCCCACCTCATTAGTTCCCAGTTCAGTTGTGCAGAAAATTGTGTGGCTATTCAGAGATAAACTTGTCAGCTGAAACTCAGCCCTTAGTTGAAAATAATGTTTGCCTTAGCACAGGCAATGAAAGTCAGTCTGCAAGGGTGTGTGTGTTGTGATTGCTGATTTGTTTCGGTCTCTTTGACTAGAATTGTAAGGAAAACAGAAACTATCCCATGCCCTCTTCTACTGATGTAAGTGATACAGAATTCTCTAGGCAATGTGTGTTTCTTGTTTTGGTGGATTTAAATATTTTGTTTTACTTGAAAATAAAAAGGCTGCTTTTTCACCATTTCACTTGTGTGTTTTTGTAATCTGTATCACCTATCTAGGTTGTTCTGCTTTTGATTCAACTTAATTGATTATCCATGGGTTGCAAGTGTGCAGTCGTTTTCCAGTGCGGCAGATGTATTACCTCAATTGATTTTTATTAACTTAAATGAATTTGTTTCCCTTCCCACTTAAAATATGGGCTAAAGGAAGAGAGCTGTGTCATTCAAATTCCGTCCTTCCTTACAAATGAGCATATTTTTTAGTCTTTATTTTTTCTTTTTTTATTTGAGTATTCACAATGATAAACATCTAGTGCTCTTTCTCCATTTAAATAGGTTTTCAGATGCAGGAGGCAGATTGACAGCTACTTCTCCATGTGTTAAGACACCATGTGACAGTCTATTGCATATCAGTATGATAAATCCACCCTTTTTCACCTAAACTGATTCTTGTGTACAACAAAGTCCATTTCACACAATAAATCAAATCTGTTTGATATATTTTAAGCGTGACTTGTTTAAAAATACCCAATGTAGAATTTACAGAATAATTTTTATCTTGGAAATGAGCCTGGTGGTTTAAAGAGTTTTATGACTAATTTAAAACTTTCTCTACTGAAATGTTTGAGAGAATAATATGGCAATTCTTCTTAAAAATAAATGTTCTTTTTATATAATGAGATTATGCCAACGTTTATCATTGATGGCTAGTCCTTTGTTCTTGATTTTGTGTTTATGATATAGTGTAATAAGATTAACCGTGCCCTGTTAAACATTTTAAACAGAGTGATTTTAGTTTGCATGTATTACAGATTTCTTAAGGTGTTTTCTGCCAAATGCAACTTAAATTAGGATCCAGTTGGACATGGCTTATAATTTAGCTTTTTCGAATGAAAATCAGAGTTTTATTTATTCTCCCAAAACCCAATAACAACGTACAAGTAGTTCTTATGCAGTAACTTCCTTCCACCTTCTCAGAGTTCAGTGTTTTCTTCACCTGTGTTTTGACTATTTTCCCTTTTCTTAAGATTGCAAAGTTAAGTGCATGAAAGGCTTTCTTTCTACAGCCAGTTCAATAAACTGTTCTGGTTTTGTTTTGTTTTTTATCTGTTGGTGCCAGTAATGGGACCAGCCACAGCAGTGGTTTTGGGGGCAATTAGATGAACCAGTAGCTACAAATGCATGGCTGTAGCATGTGCAATCTGCATTGTAGAGGTGTGTGTGATGTGCTAAAGCTGCTAACCTCTGGCATCTCATTAAAATGTTGTCCCTTGTTCCTTCTTTTTGTTTACATGTTATGGTGTTACAAGCAATTACATACTATGTGGTTTTTAATTTTTTTTTTTCTGTCACCTGAAGGTAGAGGTTAACTATCATTTGTTTCATTGGTTCTTTAAAGTTATTAGGACTGCAGGCACTTGGTGAACACTGGGTTAAGAGTTAGCGTAAACGACAAGATAATGATAGAAATTATTTACTTTTATGTTTTCAGTAGAAGTATTTGTGCTTTAAGAGAGGGAGGGAAGGAGATGATACTGTGAACAGAGAGAAACTAGCTTTCTTGTATAAAAGCCACTGCCACTGACTTATTCCCCTGATACAATAGACAGTGCAGACACTTTGGCTTTAGCATGGCAATTTGTTTTCCTAGAATACAGATTTCAGTGGTTTAAAATGCAGTGACCTCCTTCTGTCACTTGCATAATACATTTCATATCTCAGTTGTTCTAGGATTAGTGGAAAAATCAGACCAGGAAACTGCAGTGTCTATTGAATGAATGTTTCTACATTAGTGCATTGTTTTTGTTGTTGTTTATGTTTAGGTTGGCCTTTAAGTTGGTGTTCAGTTGAAGAAGGGTTTTTTGTTTTATTCTGTCAAGTCTTGTATGTGAGATGTGTATATCTTGTTTTGTTTGCTTATTTTCCCTATTTCATTTCAGCTGAGAGAGAGTTACAGTTGCATTTTGTTCTGGTTGCAAATCATAAACTCAAACATGGAACAGGATCTCTCGTTATTCTTTTACCCTCTTAGGGCAAGACTGATAATGTTGAGCTTTTGCAGCAGTGCGTAGGGTGGTAGCATTCACTATTCTTTTGGCTGAATGCTGCACGCAAAAAGCTCCTTGGGAACCTTCCCTCTGGACAAACATTGGTGTGGCCAGACCTGTTGACGTAGGTCTGAGTTTACTCAGTGGTGGAAAACACATTGCTTAGGATTTATTGCTGTTTGGTACCTGAGGACTCGATTTGTCCCTGTCTTGCACACTGAATAGTTGTATAAACTAATGTAACTGTATTCTGATTTAAAAGCCAGGTAGAGAATCGGGAATGGGTATTAAAATTATAGTACTGTCTGTGTTACATTTCTTGGAGAAGAGGAGGCTGAGGGGAGGGAGACCTTGCTCTCTATGACTACCTGAAGGAGGTTGTAGAGAGGTAGGAGTCACTCTCTTATCCCAGGTAACAAGTGATAGAATGAGAGGAAATGGCCTCAAGTTGCCCCAGGGGAGGTTTAGGTTGGATATTAGGAAAAACTTATTCACTGAAAGCGTAGTAAGATGTTGGAACCGTCTGCCCTGGGAGGTGGTGGAGTCACCTTCCCTGGTGGTATTTAAAAGATGGGTAGACAAGGTGCTTAGGGACATGGTTTAGAGGTGGAATTGGTAGTGGTAGGCTTCTGGTTCGCCTTGATGATCTTAAAGGTCTTTTCCAACCACTACAATTCTGTGATAATAGCCCATAAGCAATCACAGGCAGTCACAGTCTCTGCCCTGACTAACTTACATATTACCACAGATGCCTGTCATTACCCTGCTTCACCAACTTTGGTCATGGTAGCTAGAACTGTTGGTCTGGTGCATTCAAGGTCACAGATCTTCTCCCAGAAACCTGTGAGATTGGGTTTGAAAGTTAAATTTTAGAAAA